ATAAAAAGTTAGGGGCCCCAAAAGTAAATGCAGCTCTAATTAGGGAGTCATGGGATATGGAATCAAAGGTCTCTGAAATGTCCACAGAGGCGAAACTGAGGAGGAGCAGTGGGCGCGGGAGGAGCGAATAATGGTATGAAGGACAGATGAGTCTTAAAACATCCGTCTTTCCAGAGAAATCCGCATTGTAGGCGGTCAGATTGAAAGGAGGAAATCTAGCTCTCAGATAGAACATGATGCAAAAGGTGAGTGATTGGGCGGAAATATTCGGGAAACGTGGGCGACGAGATCTTTGGGATGAAGATGACTCTAGCCACACTAAGATGTGATGGGTATGGGTAAGAGGCAGGAACGCAATAGGCAGAACGAAGTAGGGGTCCATACGTTCAACGTCTTTTGGTGTGGTACGGTGGACATCAGGCGCTGAACCAGTCATCTGGCGTAGCAATGAAGGAAATTCAGATACGGATGTGGGTTCCACAAGATATTTTGGGCGGGATGATCACGCGTGGGGATCGATGGTCAGGCGCTGGTGGCTGTGAGAATACTCATGTCCAGTATTCGATAAAGCCAGGGATTCTTTCCTTTTTTGTATACAAGTGGTCCGTCATCTGACGTCGAGCACCGTTACCGCTGCGTCCCGACGCCTAAAATGATAAATATATTAGATGTGACTGAACTGGAGTCTAACTCGTTGTTTGTTGTTCTGAACGTTTTAGTGTGGTTGTGCTGTTTGGATGGCTTCCAACTATGTGGAAACCAACTCGGACAAAAATTGTTGAAGCGCGTACGGTAATCGTGCCGGAAATGGTAAGTGAGAGAGTCAGCTAACAGATTTCAAAGCTCGGTGCTCCGTACTTGGGTTAAATCCGCACATAGCGGGAGTAAACGACTAGCATCTCGGAGCAGGTGTTGGAATGTTATCGATTGTTCAGATGGCGAGCTGTCTGAGACATCCATCGCAGGCGTGATAGATTCGCCGTGTGTGATCGAGGTTGCTACGATTCCATTTGGCGTGGGACGCTAGGATCTCGTCCTGGAGTCGTGATCGGGTGAGGTTGTGTCGGACGCATCCAAATCAACATTTTGGCCCTGACTGAGATAGGTTGTTAGGTTCCCAGATGATAACGACCATTTTGGCGATGGAGCGACCTGTCTGGGCGTCTGCTTCTTATGGGATAGTGCTTTGTTCTGCGGTTGTGAAGGCACGTGGATCAGGGCTTGGTATGGTCTGCGTTGTAGAGGAGCTCCGGTCTCACTGACTTTCCAACGTAAAACTCCCGGGCGTTTTCTAATCCTCTTCTTAGATCGGGCGGGGAAGTCTTGTTGTAGACGATTGGTTAAGTCGAAGAAAGAATCGACATCCAGTCTGAAAGCATCGGCGTTATTAAGCAGGTTCGCATCCTCCAGAACCACCCAGTTAAACGGGTGGGCAGGCAATCGTATCATGCATTCTTTATTGTATGCGACGGGGTGGCGAATTTTACGATTTTGGTCAAGGCTTCGTTGTGCCGTAAAGGTTCCTCTACATGAGCGACATTTCTATAAGGGATCGTAATAGCCTACATTTTCCGCCAAGAATACAGTCGGATTTCGCTTATGTGCCCGGAGGTGCTGTGTGAGGCCCAGTCCAGTAGAGAAACTTCGTGGACAAATATCACCTGAGCTAAGGTGCGAAGGCAGCGATGATCGAATGTGACGAGCTTCTTTATGTCTGTCGATCTGATAGGCCAGGTTTCCCAACCATATAGGAAAGTTGAACGAACGGCTGTGTTATAAACTCTGCCCTTCAGGGCGAGAGTAATGTTGCGTGGTTGAGATTGGCAAAAGCACCTTGCTATACGGTTCGTAACCTCATCTTCGATCCCACGGTCGCTTATACAGCTGCCCAGGTACTTGAATTCCTGAACGACTTCTAGCACATCACCACCAAGCGTTAGCGCAGTAGTGGGTCCCTGCCAATCTTGGAGAAGTACTTTGCATTTCGAAAGAACAAAGCTTGACCCAAAACGATTGACTGCCAGTGCTAATCGGCCCAGTGCTGCTTGGCATGTTTGGGAGCTGTCACAGATTAGGGTAATATCGTCCGCATACTCCAAGTCAAGAAGTCGCTCACCAGGAAGTAGCTCCACACCTTCTAGGTCGTGTCCAGCGAACGCTGTTTACATGACTTCATCAATAGCGAAGTTGAAGAGGAAGAGTGACAGCGGGCATCCTTGTCTCACACCGCTGGTGATACTGAAGGGTGGCGAGAGTTTGCCATAAACCCTCACCATGCCCGAATTATGTGCGTACAGCGCTTTGATAATGTTTACATATTTATTAGGCATAACTTTCCTCAACGGACAGTCCCAAAGGGCACGTGGATCGGCTGCATCGAAGACACCGTTTATGTCAAGAAACACGACAACGGTGGGTCGCCAATAAACATGGCGGTGCTCCAACGATTGACGCAAGGTGAAGATGTGGTCGATGCAACCCCGACATCGACGAAACCCAGCTTGCTCTTCACGAGTGTGGCTTTCACGAGCGTCAGACAGTCTGTGGAGAATGACAGACCCAAGCAATTTGGACGCAATTAATAGCAGACTGATTCCTCTATGATTACCGCGTTCCAAACGGGAGCCTCCACTGAAAATTGGGATAATGACGGCACGGCCGCAGTCTGTCGGGACAGTCTCCTGCTCCCAAAGTTTTACAAACAATTTGTGTAAATGTTCTAATAGAGCAGGCCCCCCGAAATTGAAGGGCTGGGGGAATTCTAGCTGCCCCAGCGGCCTTATACAATTTCAACAGCCTGATCTCGCGTGCGACTTCTGCGCGTGAGGGCGGATACAAGGAGACGGCCAGCAGAGAAGGGCACTCATTGCCCGAAAAGGAAAGCGGTAAGTCAGGTTGGTTAAACTGCCTTGCAAAGTGTTCGGCCCAACTCTCCAAACCTTTTGACAGGCTGTGGACCGGCTGCCCACTCTTGTTGCATATGGTCTCGCTAACACCAGGTCTTCTGCTGCCTATTTCCTGTATCAGATGGAATAACTAACGACGATTACCAACGGTAGCAACTGTTTCCATCTCCGAGACACGATGAGACCACCAGGCTTCGCGGTCTTTTTTTAGGCTAACACGCAGTTTTGCCCTGACATTTTTGCGAGCCTCATTGTATTCGCTTCCAGCCGGAATAAGTTGGTAAGCATCCATAAGTTCCAGAGACTTTTTAGAGACCCAATGTCCAGGTTAGCAAGTTGATTTGCCACATGAAGACATCCCTGCTGATAGTAACGTTTGACGAATACACGACTAGTGATCTTTGACGGTGTTCCGTGGGTGTTAAGGTCCAGTCTCTTCGCGCAGTCGAGAAGTCTGGAATTGGAAACGGTAGAGGCCGATCCGTTCGTTTGCTGTGTATCAGAACCAGCAGGTCCGCTGTCCTGGCGATTCAGGAGATGTAGGGAGACAGGCCAAGACCTGCGCCGCGGGCTGTTCATAGGCCATAATCCACGACTTGGGTGGGGGATGTTGGGAAATGTGTGATTTGTTAACAGGGTATGGAGGGAACTACATTCCGGAAGCGGTTCCTCGGCTTTCGGCGGATACTGGACAGGATTAGCCACTGTAATAGTGGTTGTAACGGAGGCGTTGCTATGTGGACTAGCATTTCTCGGTCTAGCCTCTGTAAACGTTTGGTGTGTGGGACGACTTCAGTAGACTAGGCACATTGAGTAGGTTGGTTGTTCTGTTTAGCCGTTGCTGCCCGAGTCGGACAACCCTCCGTAAAAAGTGCTAAATAGCGGTGATTCAGATGGCGGTTTATTTACTACTAAGTGGATAGTAGTGGGTTGGATGTCAGTAGTGGGAGCAAATTCGGGTAATTGTGCGCGTAAGTTCATGTCCTGGAATACCCCTGGTTAGGTAGACAAAGCGGAAGTGATGGGAAAATAGCTTTGATAAGTGCGAGTGGCGGTTTGGGGGAGGTGTGAAACCAGGTGTTCAAAACTGTCAAAGATGATCTCCGGGATAGCATCAGTGTTCCTCGGCGATGGTGAAACTCAAATCGCGTCACAGATACTATCGTGAGATTATGAAACAGTGGGATCCATATTGCACATGTTGACAGTCAATCAAACTTCTGGCTGCGGTCTGTGCGATGAGTGGACACATGTTCTTTAGGGTAGACGAAGTCTTGCCTGCGTACGTAGACAGGTGAGGAAGGTTGGACACAATTCGCTCTAGGTCATTCTGTGGGCACGGATCGGTGGGGGCCCACAATGATCTAGGTAATACGCGTACGCGTAAACGCTGACAGCCAGGACAAACATCGCGTAACCGTACCCACAGAGAACATGCTGTATCCTCAAACGTGAAGTTCACTGAGTTGGGAGTCAGAAGTCCACACATTGAAGTCCCGCTGCACACCCGGTTCTCGGAACAAATGAGACACTCGGGAGCTATTGGATGGTAAAGCATCAAATTATGGAGGTTGAACTATTACTAACTGCCATAACCCAAGTGGTCAGCGTACAACATACAGGTGGTCAAAACACAGGGGCCTGATTCCAAAGGGTTTACATAATGACGGTTCAAGCTATAAAACGTGGTCAACATAGAGAGGTGATTAAATTTGGAGGTTTACTGCATAACAGATCTCTTGCAATTCTTTAACAGGTCATGCGTTCATGGTTATTTGAAAATGCATCGCATTGCCTTCAGACTTCTGTAAATGAGACTGGAAAATTGCCAGTTAACAGATACAAATAAAAGTAGTTGTTGGATTGATGAGTGGCCATGGGCCTAACGCTGTCGAGTTCGCTCCCATAAGACACGCTCCAGACAAATATTCTGTATGAGAACGAAAGCTATCGTGGAATGATAATTAAGAGGACAGCGAGTTGTTCACCCATGTGCTTAGGAGCACACGTCACATATGCCAACAGGCGCGTTGCCTAGGTGGTCTGCTTTACACCGTCAGGGTGCCTTAGCAATGCCATAAATGCAGCTAACTGATGCTCAACCATTATCTTCGTAAAGGCATCCTTGTGTGTTTCATTATCATCTACAACTTAGCGACACAGATTGTAACATTGTGGGTGTTTTAATGAACCCAAAGAAATGGATTGAGTGAACTCTGATGAGACCTGAGCTGGACTTGTTGAAATGCAGATGAAGCGGAAGAAAGCAAATTCATCGGAGAGGGTACGTTACAGAAATCAAATGATACGGTAGACACAAGGTTAAACTGATGGTAACAGTGACAGAAGTCGAGGGGGCTCAACAATAGTCAAAGGTGGGGACAGTAACATGGACAGCAATAGAAAATGATTCGGCGCTTAAATAGATGGGGAGAACAGAAGATCACCAAGAAGAATTCACGAGGGAAGTATATCGAAAGAGAGGCACTGCTTTCGGCAGAGGAGAAAATGTGAGTCCACGTCATGAGTTCTGCAGGGTGTACACACTTCAGCGATCACAGGGCGAGCGAACTGGAACGAAAGGTTGATGCATTGGAAAACGGGTTTTAGTCGTCAAGCCCGAGAGTATGAATGTTATTGGAGGTACAGTCACACTGTGGTTCAACTGCGTCAATTTAAACCATTCAGGTGTTCAGTGTTGAAACGCAATGAAGCCGCGTGTATCAGCTGTAGTGAAAATTCTGGCCGACCTACAGATCTCATAACTTTTGGCGCATAGCAGTATTGAATCCGGCCAATGTTTAGGTGTAGTACTAGACAGTATCCGGAGTTCTCGATCCACATTTGTCGTATCACCTGCGCCTACCCATGAAAGATAGTTGTTTAATAACTTCAATTATTGCGCAAATAAGAAGCAGTTAGAATAGCATGCTAAAACGTTAGTTGGGACACTACAGGCGCTACTGTGGGAATGCGGTCAACACTCGGTGAGATACGATTTTGAGTTTTTAATTCTCGTATATTCTTGCGTTCTTACGCAAAAACTATTCCACTGCTCTACGTGTTTGCTGAAGGTCACTCGCTAATACAGTTTGATATTTACGCGTTTCAATTACGGGGACGGAACAGCTAATTCGGAGGGTAGAGGTCGAATTGCATAGCTACACAAAAAGTTTGAGGCGCCGTTTGCAATCGACTTTGTGGAATGAGTAGCCTCGAACCAGGAATGCCACCGCAAGTGCTGTGAAAGCGGTCAACAAGACAGTGTTGGAATTTCGGTTTGCGCTTCTGGCAGATGGATAAACCCAAATAAATAAATAAATAAACGGTATATTCCTCTACAGTGCAAAGCATGGTCAAATTGAAATGATTATGGCGCTCATTTTGGTTCTAGACAATCATCGTTCAGCGGAAAACTGGCAACGGGATGAGGACGGCTGGGCTGGAAAGACACTCTGCCGATATGAATGTTATGATTGCCGGACGGTCACCTTAGCCTCACTCTTGTCAGCGTGCCAGCCGTCAACTCCGAACACGGCTTTTCGGGGTGTCTACGGAATGGTGGATGACGGAATTCAACGCTCATATTTAACTGATAACAATGCTGCTCCCATCAGGCATGCGGTTGAGTCAGTACAATTAGCAGCCGAACACTTTTTGATGTTGCCGGATCGCCACCAATGGAAGCCTAGGCACAAAAAGTATTCGATGTTAGTCACATGATTCTAATTGCGTTTTTATCCAATCACCAATTATTGGCAGTAAATGTTAAATGATACCCGAATATCAGCGGGTCTCGGTGACACAATTGACAGTGGGAAAGAACTGCACGCTCTGGTGGGTATTACTATGAACAGGGCAAGACAGCACAGATGATACACTTTTTGGCAAGAAACATGTAGTTTATTTCTAGGTTCATTATAGGCATGTTCGTCCTTAGTTTAGAACATTAGTAAATGTCACCCAATAGAGTCAAAGATTTTGTCCCGAAAATCGTAAATGGGAAAATACGATGATACAACATGCGGGAAGTTGAGTGCATTGTCTGTCAGACTATTAACTATGGCTATTGTGGGTGAGGAAACGCTGACTCGAGGGATGCGCTTTATGATCGGCAGAAAATGACAGAAGAAATCGCCGCGGTATTCCAAGCGATTGTACTGCACCATCAGCTTTATCGAGTAATCAAACGAGTTGGAGCTGCTGCCGAACTGCACGCGTGATTGAAATAATGAAGAAATCTGTGTGGTATTATCAGGTCGCTTCATAAACGATATTATTGCCCGTCGGATACTCCGGAAAATTTTAATCTTGGCTCCTATGATGATGCTACATTCCAATAACGTACTAAGTGGCGGTGAATTGAAAAAAGCCTTGAGTCGATGGAGTCGCATTTTACCACGGACCCCAGGTCCGAATAGCATATTTGGTGTGGTCAAATACAAACGTTGTGAGGTTAAGGGAACCCAGAGATCTAAATGTCCGAAGGAACTTCTTACTAGTCTGATGTGAGGATCAGCAATCTACGATGCATTTTTAATGCTTGCAACAATATAAGTTTGAACCAACCAGTACACCAAGACTGGCTCGACAAAAGAGCTTCGCAATATATATGCACCAAGCCCTCCGCAGTACGTGTTCTGGTGTCGTAGGGCTTAGAACAGACCACTGAAGTACTCAAGTCTGGTCGGGTTAAATTAGTTGTTGATTAAAATACATAGTATTCATTCACCATATCTTGATGTTGTCAGCAACAGGTAGGAAACTCGAAGTGGCAATTCGCAGGAGGTCAGGATATTAAAGCCTACTGAGTCCTGCAATACGACGCATACAAATTGCATACAGCCTAACGTAAGTTTCGAGCCCTAATCACCAATTACCAGCGAAGGAGAAACTAACGATTCGACTCAAAGGATGGTCCTCGTTATCGTAAATCTAGAGCTGTGAAGCAGATATCTAATGTTCTTGGCGGTCTATGGATTTAAAAATGTTCGATTAGTTCATATCAACGCCCTCAGCCTCAGCCCATTCGGTCTAGCTACCTTCTGTGATCAACAGATTTACGGCTTGCAATCACAGCACACTGGACAATACCAGTTTCTGTCCATTTATACTCACCTGTCATATATATATATATATATCGGCGGGAAAGCCTATAGTGAGCTGAGGCTGGTGGTGGCTAGATCTTGACAGATGGTCTACCCACTGCTTCTACTGTTGTGCCATTCGCTCATATCCTGGACGCCTTCCCGTGGTGACCGCTGTGTGGGAGTTGGGTTACGCCCTTCTACCTGCTAATATCCAGGTCACCAATCCGCATAAAGCAGTGAACTAACCATGTGATAGACCCGCTGACTTTCAAATGTACATTTAATCGAATGCTCTGGCTGAGGACCTGAGTCATTCTCCAGTCCGGTGTGGGCGCCCTGCCGGTATCCTAGTCCAAACTCTATCCTCTTGGGAGGTTAGGAAGTGGTCGATGGCCCACTTCCCGTAAATCCTAGCCATAGGAGACAACAGGTCCACGGGTTATAAGCTCACCGGTCGATTGGCATAGAGCCCGAGCGCCACGAATTGTCTCTGACACTGGGAGGGCAATTCCGGGTGTTCAGTGGTTTGCTACTACCCGCCTTAAGCCAGGCAACCCCTGGTCAAATTGGTGCAAACCCGCCAAAACCCTTCTGCGTCTGGTCGTGGTCGCAGGTGCGAATCTTACTACGGTCACAAAACGCAAATGGATTAGGGCAGATCTTCGAAGGCTGCGTGTGACTGAGCTCAAGCGGATCCCAGTCTGTCTTTGCAATCACATTCCCGAGCTGGATCTGCTCCCCACTGCCTTGTGGGTAAGGCTATTGAGCCAAAGGCTCCGGGTGGAGTCACTCAAGCAAATATCCAAAACACAACGACCACCTCGCGTGCGATTGCCCACCAATGCAATCGTATGCCTGCGCGCAAAGCACTCAGCATCGAGTGCTAGAACGTGCGCACACCGTTGGACCAAAATTCCAGTGACCGCCCCGAGCGAAGCACTGCACTCGTCACAATGGAACTGGCGCGCTACCACATCGATATTGCGACACTCAGTGAAACCCGACTCGCTGAGCAAGGTGAGTTGCATGAAGCAGGTGCTGGCTACACGTTCTACTGATTGGGCAACGCAGCCTCAGCACCACGTGAACATGGGGTCGGATTAGCAATATCCGATTGTCTCCATGGCCAGCTCGTGGGCGGACCAACAGGCATTAGCGCGCGACTGATGACTGTTCGCCTACGACTCGGAAGAGGTTAGTTTGTCACTTTTATAAGCACGTACGGTTCGACTATGTGTTATCCTGATGACACGCATGATCAATTCTACACTCAGCTATTCTCTGGTCTGTGCCGAGGAGCGACCGACTATTTCTGTCGAGTGATTTCAACGCGCGCGTTGGGTGTGATGCATCGGTGTGGACAGATGTCATCGGTTCGCATGGCATTGGTTCAGCGAATGCGAACGGTGGCAGGCTGCTTTCACTGTGTGCCATTCGCGGCATGATTATCACGGACACCCGGTTTGCACTGAGTGCGAGTGGTAGAACAACTTGGACGCACCCACGGAGTGGTCATGCCCATCTGCTCGACTATGTCATCGTACGTTAGCGTGACATGCGTGAAGTGCGCATGACACGTGTACTGCGTGGAGCTGAGTGGGGCACTGATCACTAATTGGTGCTGACCAACTTGCACATCTACGTACGGAAAGTACGTAATCAGTGCCGGCCGTGAATCGGGGGAGTAAAGTGTACATTATCTCCCACGCTACTTTGGTCAAAGGTATTGAACTGGAAAAGGCGATGGACACATGCCTGCGTGATGTCGAATGCATAGCCAAAGTGGGCGAACTGTGGAACCACACTCGCGAACAGGTGACAGCTGCTGCCGAGCAGACCATCAGGTAGGCAAACTGTAAGCGTCCTGATTGGTTTGATGAGAACAATGCGACGATTGGCGCATTGGTGTCAGAGAAGAATGCAGCATTTGCTGCACATGTGGCAGACCCCAGTGACTTGGGGAAGAAGAGTCAGTTTCACAGAAATCGACAGCGACTGACTCGCAAGCTCCGTCGCATTGAAAATGCATGGTGGACGTAGAAGGCGAAGTAGATGGAATGCTACGTCGAACGCCGCCAACACAAGGAAATTTTGACTCATTGAAGGCGGTGTATGGACCGAGGTTGGAGCCGCTGAGGACGCTGACCGATGGTAGCTCAGGCGGTACCTGCACACAGACTGCAGATCTGGCAAAATCAATTTGACTGACTCTTGAACAACCGTTCAGATATCGACTGGCTTGCTTTGAACGGCCTGAAGCAGCACGATATGAAGGCGAACCTGGCGGACACGCCGACCCTGGATGAGATGTAGAGAACACTTGCTCAGCTGCGAAACGGCAAGTGTGTCGGTGCCGACGAGATCCCGCCTGAAGTATTGAAACACGGTGGACCCGCGTTGGTGAATGCGCTGCACCACTTGGTGCAACGCGTGTGGATTGAGGAGGAGGTGCCTCCTGAGCTGAAGGATGCTTTTATGCTACATATGTACAAGGGCAAAGGCAGCAAGCAATGTTGCACGAATTATCGTGGTATCAACTTGCTGAGTTGTGTGGGCAAGGTGCTTGCCCGAATCCTGCTCAACCGCCTCGTCAGTCACGTTGTGGAACCTAACGTGACGGAAGAGCAGTGTAGATTCCGTTCGGGTCGCAGCACTATAGGTATGGTGTTTGCGGCTCGTCAGTTGCAGGAGAAATGCAGAGAACCACACCAGCCATTGTACTCGCTTTTGTGGATTTCCCCAAGGCATTTGATACGGTGAACCGAGAGGCATTGTGGCGTGCGTTGGGTAAGGTTGGTTACCCGCGTAAGTCGGGAAGTTTAATTGAACGCTTGCACAGTGGTACGCGAGCGAGGGTGCAGCTGAGTGGACAGACCTCGGAGGACTTTGCAGTTGTTTTTGGTGTGAAGCAAGCCTGTGTCTTAGCTCCTGCTCTGTTTAATATATATCTTCATACCAAGACGTCATGTGCGTTTGATGCGGCTTGTGCTTACGGTGTTCGTGTGGAGCACCGTATTGATGGTGGATTGCTGAACATCCGTCGTTTCGGTGCGAGAACTCTAGTCTGTGAGACAACTATCCGTATGTTGTTGTTTGCTGACGACTGTGCGTTGTTTGCACACAGCGCGGATGAGTTGCAGCACATGACTAGTGCTCTGGCTTCGACAGCGGCCAAATTCGGGCTCACCATCAACACAAGCAAAACTGTCTGTCTCTTTCAGCCTTCACCGGGGGTGCAATCTTCAATATTGCCGCGAATCAGCATTGGTGCTGAAGTATTAGAAAACACCTACCGCTTTTGCTACCTTGGGAGTGTGATGTCGACTGATCAGCAGCTACACAGTGAGCTGCGTAATCGCGTGTCGAAGGCAGCGGCGGCATTCGGGAATCTTGAGTACCGAGTGTGGAACAACCACCAGCTTACCATTAGCACGAAGCTGATGGTGTACAAATCCATGGTGCTGTCCGTTCTTCTGTACGGCAGTGAAACGTGGATGATGCACCGGCGGGATGTACGATATCTCGAGCAGTTCCATCAGCAGTGTTTGCGACGGATTCTGCGCATCGAATGGGGCGACAGAATTGCAGACACGGAAGTGATGCGTCGAAGTGGGATGTATGCAGTGGACTGCATACTTCTGCTGAGACACTTTAGGTGGCTCGGTCACGTGTGGTGTATGGATTGGACGCGGATACCGAAACAACTATCATATAGTCAGCTGAGTATTGGGAAGCGGCATGTGCGGAAACCAAAGTTGTGTTACCAGGACATGATCAAATTGAGCCTCTCACGTTCTAATCTTGATTGCAGTTTATGGGGATTGAAGGCGGTTGATTGGCGTGCATGGCGCGCTCTGACCACGAAGACAGTTGCCGAGGTGTAGGAGAAAGCCCTCATGCATGCAGAGAAGAAGCGGCAAGTGCGGAAGCGGCAAGCACCGATGGGTTGTACTCCATCGACATCGAGCTCATGGTGATGTAGCACATGCGGTCGCGAGTGCCTGAGTCAGGCAGGCCTAGTGAAGAATGAGCGAGGCCACTCGGGACCACCACCGAAGCGACGACGGGTCCTGCAAAGAAGGTAGACAGAACCGGCGCTGCGTTTGTAGGTACGCCGCATTCGATTTACTAACCGCGTGCTTGCATGCTAAATCTATTTATTTCAGGTGGTGGGTTTTCAATTTTTTCCTAGTGATGATCTTTCTCATATTATTGTCTACCTGTACTATCTTCTATAAACTTGCACACGTTACTGAAGCTAATTCTACTTAATTTAGATAACATACTCGATTGTGGCATTTTCTTAAAATATGTTTGCTGACCTCCTGAAGTTATCGCGGATTCGTTCGTAATCATATTTTTACACGCTCATTTAGTGAAGAGTTATGTCTCCGTATCTGTATACATTATCCGACTTATTTTAATTCATCTTGTCGTTTTAAGTGATTGGCTTTGCTTGATATCCTCGGTGTGACTGCGCTTAATGTGCATGTTGACAAGGTGCCTACTTCTCTATAACGCACCACCTCGTCCATACTGGCTCCAGGAGACCGTTGGTCGTTGCTGGAGGGGACGGGGTACACGGTCCTCGTGGCCGTGCTAGGATCGAAGAGTGGTTCCATGAACACGGTTTGTGAGTGGCGCGGACTACGGTCCAGCCACCGACCAGTGTGCGCTTGGTTTCCCAAATACAGCGTGCTTGTGTTTGTGTGTGAAGGAGTGTGGGCCAGCCCCGTTGACGAAAGTTGGCTCCCATCCACATTCCTCTTGGGCTTATTCGTTCGGGTTTACACTGGATATGGGGTGTGTGGTTGGAGCTGTGGGTGGTGCAGCGCAAGCGACGCATGGTCGCTCTGTAGGCGCAGGCGTCCTGTGGCTTGCCACAGTGACAGGCAAATCCGAAACCGGATGCCGCCAACCATATACGATTTTGCGGTGAAACTGTTAGCGCGCATGACGCATTGAATAGCATCCATGACCATGTTGGATCCGTTGTGCGTCACGGTGCGCTGTCGAATTGTAAGTGTCCATAAGGGATTTGGTTAATCGTGCTAAATCCCCTCCCAACTGATCTCATCTACTGCGGTAAACAATTTAATTTACCAGGGCATCGCCATTCAGCATCTTTTCGCAAACGAAGAACGACCAGCACAAAAACAATGGACAAAGCTGCCTACATGATGTACCGCCCTGTAATTGGAACAGTTACGACTACAGAGCACATGGATTAAATAGGTCCAAGACATGAGTGTGACCAGTGGTAATCTCATCCCGTTTGATTGATGAATTTTTAGACCCACACTCCATAATGAATAATATCATATTTTGAAAGTTTTGATCTAACGATGCTCGATTCTGGCATCGAATACGCGGCGCGTAGATCATGCTATTGGATTTCTTATAGGCGGAATACAACACCAATTAGTTGAATCTGCTAGGAATCATTTCCATTATTGACGCATTTTTCGGGATATTATTCTTAGGGCTGAACGTATCGAAATAGTGAGGGAGTTCTATCTGTTTCAACACTAATCTCAGAACATCGCTTACATCAGAGCTATTTCGGCCCAAACGGGATGCCGGGTACTTCCACTTTGTTTTCCAGGAATATAAGTAGCTGCCTTCGATAGCTATCGAAAAGGCATAAACCAGTGCGTTTGAGGCAAGTGACAGTAGTCTTCTCCTAATCAGCATCATGTCTGCTATGTCACTAAAAGAATATACATGACTAGAATTGCATCGTCTTCGGAGTGAAAAACATCTGAACTATTTGACTAATTTGAGTCAGACCCTACTTTTCAAGTAACGAAAACTGCTCTGAAATAGTAACAACGCATTATTAAATATTATTTCGACTCTCCTAAGGACATGGTCAATTACTTACCCTATGAACGGTGCATTGTCTTAAAGAACAGCAGATAGTGTTAGCCACAACAAAATTGCATGCGCACATGGAGAGGGCTGACTGACCAGAGCTTCGAATTCGTAGCAGATATGCAGGAGAATTGATTACTTCGTCGCCAGAATCTTCGCTGAATGTTTGTCTATGTGAGTTCGGTCTACTGCGTCAAAAAAACACTCCGATGTGCAAGTGTCGAGCGTTTCCTGAAGAGGAATTTCCAATGATATGATTTAGAGTGGAGTTAATGGGTACATCGCTGTTGCATATACAAACATGGGAACGATGAACACAGCATCTGTATTTGAGGCACATATTGACTCAGGGTGTGACCCAAAACGGAGTGTTATACTTACAGGCTTTAGTTTTATTCGCAGCTACTAGACTAGAGGGCCAGAACGTGCAGGATAACACCCAAATTACGGGGCGCAGAACTATTGGAAACTATGTTCGAACAAGAGCGCTCAATTTCCACTGAACGATTTTTGAACATCACCGTGAATCCTGCGGTATCCGGGGGCATACTCACCTTGGGCAAATTGACAAGGTTGGAGGTTTATTCCTTCCCTTAGCTAAGTTCCACAAGTGCGGTGATGCAGAAATAATGCAGTGCACACTTGAATTAAAAATGTCATTACAAATCGCTGACCTGTCTAACAGTGCCAGATGAGAAAGCGGTGAATAACGAGCTTATTATCCACATTTTTGTGTGAGGCTGTGAGAAATGCAATGCGCTGTCCGTGCTTTGTGGAAGTAGTGATAATTGTGGTTCACCGTCCGTGAAGTATTAACTATTTTACTATCCTTATCATCATTATTGTTATGTTGATATCCCCTGCAACTATCCAACGGGACTTGTAAAGCAACGCTTCTCAACCCGTATAAATGCATTGTTCATTGTTCAACTGTAGGTGCATCCAGCATAAGCAGGGCGTTCGGTTCTCTATTCATTGCACTGTTGTGCCTAACGTTTCTCTGTTAACTCTAACTTCGATTCGGACGTCGGTACCGCTGCAAACTGATCTGTTATGGATAACATGAAATTCAAATTGCAGATGTAGTGAGGTTAAACCCATCACAGCGGCTTTACAAGCAAGCAGTTGATCTGACAGTCTAGAGGTTCGGAATCTGATTAAAGCTATCGGTTCAACTAGTCATAGGGTATTGGAGCGAGATACTTACAGTGTACTCCACACTCAAGCAGCCCATCGTTCCCAGTTATACTTTGTTATTCAACTTCAAATGCCACCAATCCTGGTGATGAAATAGTCACTGGATCGCATTTTTTTGAAATTAATCGCTTGATGGATGGTAGCCGAATAATCTAGCTGATAAAAGTGCGTATGCGCGGAACAGCGCTACGTCCACTTGTTATAGGGCCACCTTGCCTAAAATTACTCCGTGGTGTTTGGGGGCTAAAGAATTACTTCCCCGGAACTCTCCTCAGTCGCAGAACACCATGGAACTTTGCATACAAAGCAGTGCGTTAATTTCTCTTATTTTCAGCACTATTTGCATGGTATATACTCAGCGGTTCCCGAATTCTAGGCGCTTCAGTCATGCTTAGACGATTTTCAACCACTGATTACCATGTCAAAAAACTTTCTCTGTTCGGAACCGATACACACCATTTAGTTAAATGAATGTACTCAAACCACTCACAGTAGTACTCAGACCTGCGAGTATGAGTGTCATAAATTTCTTGAAAAAACTGATGATACCAGTACATCTTATACCTCAAGAGCACTATTGAGATATGGGTAGAGGGTTAATCAGTTAACAGCAATCCGGATTCTTCCAACTTTCATGTTGAATCAGTCAACATACCCTACTTGAAGGCACTGTTTATCTACCTCAGTATGGAATATGAAAGCGTGCTTTCGACTATCCTTGCGAATGCACTGCGCCAGCATCAGGTTCATCTTGACGGAACCCGGCAACCACCATTGGGATACGTGTGTTAAAACAAACTAATCTACTTAGCAGTCGCTACTTTTGAACTAATACTGTTGGTCTACTATAATTAGACTACATGCCGTAAAAAGCACTGGATTTCAGATATTGTACCTCACATTTGAAAGTCCGTTGCCTGTGTGTCCGCACAGCTCGCGTAAGTTCGGAGTGCGTCTTATTGTGGGCATTGGTGGGTCTCTGCCACATGGCATAAGAACGTTTGACGTGTGGTTCAGCATTTCGCGGCACCGATTCTCGCCTCTGTGGCTCTCGCAACTTTTTCCTACCCGCGCTTATCCGTTTATGAGCGCACCGCTGTTCGTTGTAAACACTTGGCATACAGTATCTGTGGATCCGTGTGGGTTTCGCTCTAGACACTGGGTTTTTCGACTCTTCTTCTCTCAAACGCCCAACGACATTAGCATAAACTGGTTTACGATGCAGAAAGGAGTGAGTACATGTGTTATTCTTTTGCTGAAACCAAGAACACCGACTCCTATGAACCGGCGAAAGCCGCTGAAAAACATAGATAGTTAACACTTCGGTGATTTCAAACTGGGTGCACAGACTGCGGCAACAGAGCGATCCACAATCCAGAAATCTTCTCTCAGCCACATGTAAAGCCAAGGCGGCTTCATTAAATGCCATCCGGATAACAGTAGTGCTGATGCCGAAATTCGGTTGGAGTCGATACCCAATTTGAGGATAAGGGTTATGGAAATCCTGAACTGTGCACCTCAATTCTTCACCAAAAGCAACGGATCTAACTTGATCCGGTTGAATGTGCTCTATGCATGTAGCCACGATAAGGTATGCTGGTGGAATGTATATTAACGCCCGACCTGCTGGAGAAGAAACGTAGTTCGACTTCTGTAAACTGACATAAAGCCCGCTAGTGCGCTCGCAAGCATGGTTAGGTTCAAGTAGGGTAGCGCAGAAATTTTGATTGTCCTGGAAACAATTTGAAATAACTACACGATGTCTTTGTGTAGTGCAAAAACTGGGAAATGGACGTATAATCGGATTCAGTGGCGCACAGGTGATTAGCAACAAATGTCCAGTCAGCGGTATCCTAGTCACTAAGAGGGCAGGGGACTCCGTCAGAAAACAAGACGCAGCTTGCACCGAGTGTGTGAGCGAAACGTAAGTCAGAAGCACACTTGTACGATGATCAGTCGTCTCCGGTACGTCAATCGAAATAGCGTCTAATGTATCCGATCTGGAGAAACAAGGTAAAGGATCTGCGCTATCATGTAGCCAATTCCATTCAGCCACTTTTCCCACAGTTACCTCGGCTATTCTCACAGTCTGCGGCTCAATCTGTTGGAATAACTTCTGGGGATCAACAGTTGAATGGTACGTTCCCACCAAAATCGTCTGTTCCGTGAGGCTTTCGCATGATATGTATTCGGTCTCAGGTGAACTGCAATCAGCATCTGTATTGCAGGCAGCCATTTCTGTGTCCCCGGCCTCATTATTTCTCGGCCACTCGGCTGAAACCATAGTTGGGTAAGCAGAGGATGCTCGAACAGCCGCTGATAATTGGCATAGATTGTTGTGCATGCACGGAACGGATTTCGTTCTTATCTGGCAAATGGAGGCAACACATTCATGCGCACGGGAATTGAGTAGTTCAAAGTCATGAAATCTGATGGAACAGCTTGATTCATCTAGCAAAACTGAATTTGTCACGTAGTTGCTTACCTTCGTTTTTGTTCGAAATAGAGGTCCGCCACTCGGAGGGCTAGTTTCACAGTTTGCCATCACAACGTGCGGCTCGCAAATATTACCGTATCGATTTGTACCTTTTGTCAAATGGTGTAAAGTCCCCATCGAATTTGTATCTCCTGTAATAGTTGACTGAAAACTCTCCAAATCGAAGTCGGTGTCCAGAGAAGTAGCAAGGATAGATGAGGCGAGTTGAACATTCCACACATCGTCTTCAACTGTCTCGCTGTTGGAATTGTTCGTGCCAACCAGTAAAAATAACGGGGCGTCTACCTGCACGTTGAAAGTTCTGGACTCCTCACAGGTGCATAGATTGCATCCTCCTTGGTCCGCACGTGCAGAGTCGCTAACCATTCCAACATGTGCATCAAAGGGCTGATCCGCAGGTGGTAGCCTCTGACTGTTCTTCATCCGCATCTTCAACTCCGGGCCCGCTAATCGCTTCTCGTTACTTTGCTCCACCTTTAACCCGGCCAAAGCCAGGTCCGGGGACATAGCAGCCGGTCCACATTGCGAGCCAGTTAAGGGTGGCTGGTTACCAAGATATCCACTCGCATCCACAGTAACCAGTACTTCACATTCATTCATACTAATGAGCGGTGGTGACGGAATGATACCTCCTGGTGGGATGATATGCTTACTGGTCTTCGTCAAACATGCAGCGGGTGTGCTCAGGGGTAGAGAAGTAGCCGAGAAACAGGTGAGAGACACATCGCTGACCAAAGAAGGGGATGGTGTGGAGTAATTTGTTCCAAATAGACGTAATTCGCCACCATACGCCATCTGGAATACTGGTAGACCATCCGTGGGTCGATACACATTGCTGAAGGCAGGAATCGTAGATGTCCCTGTTGTCGGCCTGCTGGGGACGGAATCCATCCCCGAAGAGACGGTGCACGTGACCTCCGGTGCGCATTCATGTATGTATGAGTTGGAATGAACGCATGCACCGGTGAGAGATGTGGTTGGAGTACCGAAGCTCTCTGCAAGATAACCTGACCAAAAGTCATCAACTGATGAAGCTGTGATAGGTATTAATTCAAATTTTTTCTCTGAACATTCACCCTCATGGAGAGGATCTCCTGTTAGCGACCAGCCATCGTCATCAACTTCCGTTATGGTGGTGGGAGATGACAACTCAGTGCCTACTTCGGGACTAGTTGGATGTGAATCGTTCGTTGAGAATCCAGCTTTGCAAGAGGAGCCGAATGAGCACATGCACCTACGTGCTGAGATCTGATTAAGTTGTGAAGCTCGGCTGTGAAGGGGTGATTGCGTCCTGAGTGGCGATGTCGAGCGTGCTTGGTTCGAAAGAACTTCCCCACAGAGGGGCTTGTAGGTATTAACGGAAATTGAAGGTGTTATCTCTATTTTAGTAGACGTTACTGAGAAATTCCTTTTCGAAGGTCTTTGAATAGTAGAGGTGAGTGACTGATGAAGTGTAAAATGATCAGTTTGCCAACAAGAAACAGAACGAATTTTTGAACTGAGGCCGGCATGTTTCGCCATACGGTGGTACTGAACCGAAGATTTCATATCCACACCTGGTTCCAAAACGCTTGGTTGTGTTACCTCAGTCAAGAATGACTCCGAGGTAGCAACATGGATAAAGTAGGATGGAGTGATTTCTTCCTGAATTTCATAAGGACCTTTGCACCATTCCACAGAGTGGTGTAAGCTGTGTAATAGAAGGCGATGTTGCGTCCGTGCCACCTTCAATTGTGAAATGCCACTCATTTTTGCAGTAGAAGATACGGCCAAAAATATCCCTTCCGTATGTCGTCTAGATGTAGCCTTGGTTGGCACGATGTAGCTTCCTTCCAATTCATCATAAGTATGTGCTACTTTGCCTGTATTTGCCCAGTAGGCTGGCATAAGAAAAGGAAAGTAGTTAGATTCCATCTTAGAGGCGCTTGAGCAACTGGAAGAGGAAACCTCAGGATCATTGTCTTTGTCGATGTTTGCCCAACACGTAGGGCCAGGTATCTCTCCTCTAAACTTCCAAGAGGTCAACAATGTCACTACCTTACCAATTCGACTGGTGTTCGCTAAATCATCAAAGCAGCTATAGCCATTATTCGTTATGCACGGAACGTTTGTGTAAGAGGCACACATTCCTGAACGACACATGTTTCGCCTTGTGAGAGCGTAGGGTGAAATGTTTCGCCTTGGTCGCATGAAAATGGAATGGTACTCAATATTGCCAGTCTTCAATGTAGTTGGTATTTCGGTTTCGACACGTCGTGATTCTAGAATACCTGATGTACCTGCTTGAGAACGGCTGCCAAAGTGATCTCGCTCAGCAGTAAATCCTTCTGTCTTAATGTAAGCTGCCGGCTCGCTCGATCCTCTAGGGACAAAGTATGGAGGTCGAAACACGGAAGAGTTATTTTCTGCAGGCCCATCTGGGAGAACTGGCGTTTCGCTCGCTGCTAATGTATCGGGACCCATAAAGTCCTGTTCACTTTTACACCAGCACGTGCATGCCGGTGTAAGCTCAATGTATAAAGGTAGATCCAAAACAACCATTTGCGGCTCACTCAACAGCCAAGGACAATGTTTCCTCGCTTTCAACAAACAGGGACATATGCGAGACCTGTGCCGCTTTCTTCTGCGAACTCCACGAAGACAGTTAGTATGACACGCCTCGTACCCGATCCTGCTCACACTGTTGGTCCAGTTGACGTGCGAACAACAACAAGCTGTTTTCCGCTTACTCAAACATGCCCACCAACGGTCGCTTTTGTTAAGTGCCTTTTGGGTGCGAGTAGTTTTCGTTTTAGCCGATCCGCAACAACAAGGGTTACTCCAAACACACAGAGAACGTGAGCAGTTGGAGTTAGTTCCTGTGTGCAAAACATGGTTACAATTGTTTAGAAATGCAGGAGAGAAATGTGTCAAAGTGTCTGTACAATAATGTTTCAATGTAGTGGATTTCAAAATGTTTCTCTGGTATGCAATTGAGGATGGTACTATGGCCATGGGACGTTGCTGTCGATACTCAACTCTGTGGAATCTCGGTAGAAACGGAGTGGATTGAATAGATAGGGCATTATTACTTGATCCACATAAGTTGGCCCTGGCAAGCTGCAGCCGAGTTCGGTTGGGATATTTTAAGACCACCGAACTCCCAGGCCTTGACTGCGCATGTAGACCGATATAATGATGGAGGGGCATTGAAATGTGACGACGTTTGGCTCTATGCAGCCGTCGCAATGGATTCTTGGTACTAACACTGATCCAGTTGACTTGTTCTATCAAACCCATTATGCGCACGTCAGGATCTCGGATGAAATGGGTTTGTATTAGGCGTTTCCGGAAGTCTGGCCTATCTTCTCCATGAATGTTGGACATGAGAGAAAGGGAGACCGCACAATTCCTTGGTTTCCTTTCGAGAAAGTGGTTAGTGGAAAAAGTTTGCTGCGTCGAAGTGTGTTTACCCAAATATGCTGATTTGATTTCCTCAGTTCCGCTCAGTCCCCAATAAACTGTTTCCAGCGCCCCGCTTACCAGTTTGTGTCCTCGCTCTACGGCGCATGAACTGATAAGTTGATGTTCAACGAACTGCGGCTGATCTTGTAAGCAGAACTGAGCGAGGTCACAGCTATGTACCATGTGCACTCGAAATAATCTGATACTTGATAGAGGAAAATCTCGAGTTGGAAAGTCACCGTCTCGCTGCAAACACAGGGCGACTGCAGGCATGTACAAATCAGTACATAGCAAGGAAGCAACCGCAACTAGCTGTTTGGGCTCAAGTTGACCAATGGTGTCAAAATAACTAGCATGGTATTCCAGTCCCATCACAGATTCAAGTTCAGAACGTTCGGCATTTAGTTGCGCAGTGCGTTGTGGAGTAGCAAGCACACAAGGAGAAGGGATTGTAGGCGCTATGGTTGAACGTGGACACACGCCGTGATGAAGGACGGCACCATTTTGTATTCCCCTATCCAATAGGGCTACACGTTCGCCACTGTGAACCGTAGACTTATGCAGCATGTTCCCGTAGCGTCGACTGTGGACCAGCCCGCTTTTACACCCCCCCCAAAAACAACAACCCCTTCTAAACCGTTTCCCCCTCCCCCCCCTTTCCGCCCCCCCCCCCGCTGCCCCCACCCCCCCCCCCCCCCCCCCCCCCACCCCCCCCCCATGGGTTGCCTCCCTGTCTTGAAGCTCGCGCCGATCAGCCCCCCCATGATCGTGTTTCCCATCCTAGCATCATCTGAATCCCTCCCCCCCAATCCTGCGCTCAAACACCTCACCAGTACTCCCCGTCCCGGTCACCCCCCCATCAGCTCTCGCCGCCTCCTTTTCCCGTTGTGGATGTTGAGAGAGATACACACAGACTGTGTGTATTTTGCGCAGATTAGTCAATGATCTAATGAAATCGCATCATCTGTCGCCAGCTTCAAGACAGAGGCACCCAGCACCAAAAACGTACAGTTTTGGTAAACACCGACCGACAGCTACGGACATGCTGCATAAGTCTACGGTTCACAGTGGCGAACGTGTAGCCCTATTGGATAGGGGAATACAAAATGGTGCCGTCCTTCATCACGGCGTGTGTCCACGTTCAACCATAGCGCCTACAATCCCTTCTCCTTGTGTGCTTGCTACTCCACAACGCACTGCGCAACTAAATGCCGAACGTTCTGAACTTGAATCTGTGATGGGACTGGAATACCATGCTAGTTATTTTGACACCATTGGTCAACTTGAGCCCAAACAGCTAGTTGCGGTTGCTTCCTTGCTATGTACTGATTTGTACATGCCTGCAGTCGCCCCGTGTTTGCAGCGAGACGGTGACTTTCCAACTCGAGATTTTCCTCTATCAAGTATCAGATTATTTCGAGTGCACATGGTACATAGCTGTGACCTCGCTCAGTTCTGCTTACAAGATCAGCCGCAGTTCGTTGAACATCAACTTATCAGTTCATGCGCCGTAGAGCGAGGACACAAACTGGTAAGCGGGGCGCTGGAAACAGTTTATTGGGGACTGAGCGGAACTGAGGAAATCAAATCAGCATATTTGGGTAAACACACTTCGACGCAGCAAACTTTTTCCACTAACCACTCTCTCGAAAGGAAACCAAGGAATTGTGCGGTCTCCCTTTGTCTCATGTCCAACATTCATGGAGAAGATAGGCCAGACTTCCGGAAACGCCTAATACAAACCCATTTCATCCGAGATCCTGACGTGCGCATAATGGGTTTGATAGAACAAGTCAACTGGATCAGTGTTAGTACCAAGAATCCATTGCGACGGCTGCATAGAGCCAAACGTCGTCACATTTCAATGCCCCTCCATCATTATATCGGTCTACATGCGCAGTCAAGGCCTGGGAGTTCGGTGGTCTTAAAATATCCCAACCGAACTCGGCTGCAGCTTGCCAGGGCCAACTTATGTGGATCAAGTAATAATGCCCTATCTATTCAATCCACTCCGTTTCTACCGAGATTCCACAGGGTTGAGTATCGACAGCAACGTCCCATGGCCATAGTACCATCCTCAATTGCATACCAGAGAAACATTTTGAAATCCACTACATTGAAACATTATTGTACAGACACTTTGACACATTTCTCTCCTCCATTTCTAAACAATTGTAACCATGTTTTGCACACAGGAACTAACTCCAACTGCTCACGTTCTCTGTGTGTTTGGAGTAACCCTTGTTGTTGCGGATCGGCTAAAACGAAAACTACTCGCATCCAAAAGGCACTTAACAAAAGCGACCGTTGGTGGGCATGTTTGAGTAAGCGGAAAACAGCTTGTTGTTGTTCGCACGTCAACTGGATCAACAGTGTGAGCAGGATCGGGTACGAGGCGTGTCATACTAACTGTCTTCGTGGAGTTCGCAGAAGAAAGCGGCACAGGTCTCGCATATGTCCCTGTTTGTTGAAAGCGAGGAAACATTGTCCTTGGTTGTTGAGTGAGCCGCAAATGGTTGTTCTGGGTCTACCTTTATACATTGAGCTTACACCGGCATGCACGTGCTGGTGTAAAAGTGAACAGGACTTTATGGGTCCCGATACATTAGCAGCGAGCGAAACGCCAGTTCTCCCAGATGGGCCTGCAGAAAATAACTCTTCCGTGTTTCGACCTCCATACTTTGTCCCTAGAGGATCGAGCGAGCCGGTAGCTTACATTAAGACAGAAGGATTTACTGCTGAGCGAGATCACTTTGGCAGCCGTTCTCAAGCAGGTACATCAGGTATTCTAGAATCACGACGTGTCGAAACCGATATACCAACTACATTGAAGACTGGCAATATTGAGTACCATTCCATTTTCATGCGACCAAGGCGAAACATTTCACCCTACGCTCTCACAAGGCGAAACATGTGTCGTTCAGGAATGTGTGCCTCTTACACAAACGTTCCGTGCATAACGAATAATGGCTATAGCTGCTTTGATGATTTAGCGAACACCAGTCGAATTGGTAAGGTAGTGACATTGTTGACCTCTTGGAAGTTTAGAGGAGAGATACCTGGCCCTACGTGTTGGAAAAACATCGACAATGACACTGATCCTGAGGTTTCCTCTTCCAGTTGCTCAAGCGCCTCTAAGATGGAATCTAGCTACTTTCCTTTTCTTATGCCAGCCTACTGGGCAAATACAGGCAAAGTAGCACATACTTATGATGAATTGGAAGGAAGCTACATCGTGCCAACCAAGGCTACATCTAGACGACATACGGAAGGGATATTTTTGGCCGTATCTTCTACTGCAAAAATGAGTGGCATTTCACAATTGAAGGTGGCGCGGACGCAACCTCGCCTTCTATTACACAGCTTACACCACTCTGTGGAATGGTGCAAAGGTCCTTATGAAATTCAGGAAGAAATCACTCCATCCTACTTTATCCATGTTGCTACCTCGGAGTCATTCTTGACTGAGGTAACACAACCAAGCGTTTTGGAACCAGGTGTGGATATGAAATCTTCGGTTCAGTACCACCGTATGGCGAAACATGCCGGCCTCAGTTCAAAAATTCGTTCTGTTTCTTGTTGGCAAACTGATCATTTTACACTTCATCAGTCACTCACCTCTACTATTCAAAGACCTTCGAAAAGGAATTTCTCAGTAACGTCTACTAAAATAGAGATAACACCTACAATTTCCGTTAATACCTACAAGCCCCTCTGTGGGGAAGTTCTTTCGAACCAAGTACGCTCCATATCGCCACTCAGGACGCAATCACCCCTTCACAACCGAGCTTCACAACTTAATCAGATCTCAGCACGTAGGTGCATGTGCTCATTCGGCTCCTCTTGCAAAGCTGGATTCTCAACGAACGATTCACATCCAACTAGTCCCGAAGTAGGCACTGAGTTGTCGTCTCCCACCACCATAACGGAAGTTGATGACGATGGCTGGTCGCTAACAGGAGATCTTCTCCATGAGGGTGAATGTTCAGAGGAAAAATTTGAATTAATACCTATCACAGCTTCATCAGTTGATGACTTTTGGTCAGGTTATCTTGCAGAAAGCTTCGGTACTCCAACCACATCTCTCACCGATGCATGCGTTCATTCCAACTCATACATACATGAATGCGCACCGGAGGTCACGTGCACCGTCTCTTCGGGGATGGATTCCGTCCCCAGCAGGCCGACAACAGGGACATCTACGATTCCTGCCTTCAGCAATGTGTATCGACCCACGGATGGTCTACCAGTATTCCAGATGGCGTATGGTGGCGAATTACGTCTATTTAGAACAAATTACTCCACACCATCCCCTTCCTTGGTCAGCGATGTGTCTCTCACCTGTTTCTCGGCTACTTCTCTACCCCTGAGAACACCCGGTGCATGTTTGACGAAAACCAGTAATCATATCATCCCACCAGGAGGTATCATTCCGTCACCACCGCTCATTAGTATGAATGAATGTGAAGTACTGGTTACTGTGGATGCGAGTGGATATCTTGGTAACCAGCCACCCTTAACTGGCTCGCAATGTGGACCGGCTGCTATGTCCCCGGACCTGGCTTTGGCCGGGTTAAAGGTGGAGCAAAGTAACGAGAAGCGATTAGCGGGCCCGGAGTTGAAGATGCGGATAAAGAACAGTCAGAGGCTACCACCTGCGGATCAGCCCTTTGATGCACATGTTGGAATGGTTAGCGACTCTGCACGTGCGGACCAAGGAGGATGCAATCTATGCACCTGTGAGGAGTCCAGAACTTTCAACGTGCGGGTAGACGCCCCGTTATTTTTACTGGTTGGCACGAACAATTCCAACAGCGAGACAGTTGAAGACGATGTGTGGAATGCTCAACTCGCCTCATCTATCCTTGCTACTTCTCTGGACACCGACTTCGATTTGGAGAGTTTTCAGTCAACTATTACAGGAGATACAAATTCGATGGGGACTTTACACCATTTGACAAAAGGTACAAATCGATATGGTAATATTTGCGAGCCCCACGTTGTGATGGCAAACTGTGAAACTAGCTCTCCGAGTGGCGGATCTCTATTTCGAACAAAAACGAAGGTAATCAACTACGTGACAAATTCAGTTTTGCTAGATGAATCAAGCTGTTCCATCAGATTTCATGACTTTGAACTACTCAATTCCCGTGCGCATGAATGTGTTGCCTCCATTTGCCAGATAAGAACGAAATCCGTTCCGTGCATGCACAACAATATATGCCAATTATCAGCGGCTGTTCGAGCATCCTCTGCTTACCCAACTATGATTTCAGCCGAGTGGCCGAGAAATAATGAAGCCGAGGACACAGAAATGGCTGCCTGCAATACAGATGCTGATTGCAGTTCACCTGAAACCGAATACATATCATGCGAAAGCCTCACGGAACAGACGATTTTGGCGGGAACGTACCATTCAACTGTTGATCCCCAGAAGTTATTCCAACAGATTGAGCCGCAGACTGTGAGAATAGCCGAGGTAACTGTGGGAAAAGTGGCTGAATGGAATTGGCTACATGATAGCGCAGATCCTTTACCTTGTTTCTCCAGATCGGATACATTAGACGCTATTTCGATTGACGTACCGGAGACGACTGATCATCGTACAAGTGTGGTTCTGACTTACGTTTCGCTTACACACTCGGTGCAAGCTGCGTCTTGTTTTCTGACGGAGTCCCCTGCCCTCTTAGTGACGAGGATACCGCTGACTGGACATTTGTTGCTAATCACCTGTGCGCCACTGAATCCGATTATACGTCCATTTCCCAGTTTTTGCACT